ACAATTTCTTGTGTAGCAAGAGACAACCAACGGTATCATTGTCAACCACTGAAGCTGAGTATCGAGCAGCAGTAATGGCAGCTCAAGAGAGTACATGGTTGATGCAGTTGATGAATAATCTACATCAACCAGTAGATTATGCAATTCCTTTGTACTGTGACAACCAATCGGCAATTCGGCTGGCGGAGAATCCTGTTTTTCATGCAAGAACTAAACATGTGGAAGTACATTACCACTTTGTTAGGGAAAAAGTTTTGCAAGAAGAGATTGAGATGAGACAAATCAAGACAGATGAGCAAATTGCTGACTTGTTTACAAAAAGCTTGAGTGTTGGAAAGTTTGAACATTTCTATCGTCAACATGGCGTGATTCAAAGAATGAAGGCTAACATTGAGGGGGAGTGTTGAAAATTCAATATTAGCCTAAATAAGTTCACACCTAAATTAATTTGATGTCATTGCTTACATCAATTTAGTTAGGTGAAAATTAAGTATTTTTCTCATGTTTTAATTTCAATGGTTTAGATTATTTAGTGCTTATTTTAATGAGTGGTTTAGATTGTTTCTTGTAACCTATAAATACCCTACTTGTATTTGAGTTTTATCATCCGACAATCAAAGCTTAATTATAAGCATTTGAAAACTTTCTTAAGAGTTCTTCCCTTTTGCAATTTTGTGAGATTATTCTAAAGAGAGTTTTTTCTTCTTCTCAATCAATTAGAGTTTTTACTCTATTTTTGATGCAACATTAATATTCTCCTTGTTGTTTTAAAAGTTAATGTTTTTATAGTACATCTTGTCCACAAGATAGGTATTAGATTTCTAGGTGTCACTGACATACGCAACAAGCTTGCACATCATTGGTTCCAAGTTATATGAATAATTAAAGTTATTAAACATTTGCGAATCTCTTCTGTGATATTCCTTTGAACCTATTTAATACAGGTGGACGGCTACCCTGTTTATAGCATGGCAACTCCGTCAATTATTGGTGCTAAAGAGATGCTAACATACCTTGGTGCCAAGTCCAATTCAGAAGTTGCTGGTCAGAAAGTGGTAGTAACTGATCTAAGAGAAGAGGCAGTTGTGTACATTAATGGCACACCATTTGTACTAAGGGAGTTAAATAAGCCTATTGATACCCTAAAGCATGTTGGAATTACTGGCCCCGTGGTATGCCATCATGAATGTTGTTTACGGTTTGGTTTATCTTAAGCTGTTTATTTCCAATTATTTCAGCCAATTTCTTGCATTGTGATTATAATTCAGGTGGAACACATGGAGACACGGCTAAAGGAAGATATTTTGTCTGAGATTAGAAATTCTGGTGGTTTAATGCTTTTACATCGTGAAGAATATTGCCCATCTTCAAATCAGGCCAGTGTTGTAGGTTACTGGGAAAACATCTTTGCTGATAATGTGAAGACACCTGCTGAAGTTTATGCTGCTTTAAAAGATGAGGGGTATAATATAGCATATAGAAGGATACCGTTAACTAGAGAGAGAGAGGCTTTAGCTTCTGACGTGGATGAAATCCAGAACTGTCAAGACCGGTAAGTATCTGTATATCTGATTAGTGCTTCATTCATCTGCAATCGAAGTTATTCCTACTACGGCCTCACCATAATAGTTTTACATTGTCAATGACATCCATTAATTTATTGTTTGTTTGGTTGTTATTGCTTAAGTGGTTTCTTTAAATTCAATTGTTTTGAAGCTGCAATAATGTCTTTTACAGCTCCTCAGGGTGTTACCTTTATGTATCGCACACTGGGTTTGGAGGAGTAGCATACACAATGGCAATTATGTGCTGCAGACTTGATGCAGAGGTAAATTTCAGGACAATCAGCTTCACGCAAACATTGGCTAATGTACATCCACATTCTACATGTGAAGAATGCTTGCTATCCCGGTCTTCTGAAGAAGAAGCACGAAGGATGGGTGATTATCGAGACATACTAAGCCTTACAAGAGTTCTCATGCATGGTCCCAGAAGCAAAGCAGATGTGGATATCATTATTGAAAGGTCTGTCTCATATCCTTTTTAGCTTTATTTAGCTTTCTATTAAAATTGAATTGAAGTTTTTCTTACTATATTACAATACCAGCAATGTATATAAATCAGAGTAGTGATTCAGGGTGACCAGAAAGGTAAAATGATGAATTATTCTGCTGACATTATCATTGTATTCTCTTTTTTGGACTCGGCTTAAGAATTCCCTCGTGTTGCTCATGTGATATTTTTTTCATGGTTTTATTTCGCTTCATACTCGTTTAAACCATAGCCTCTTATTGGCCTGTTTTACCCCTTTCGATGATGCGGAGATTTTCTTCCAAATTTTGTGAAGGTGTGCTGGTGCAGGGCATATACGGGACGATATCCTTCATTATAGTAAGGAACTCGAGGGAGTCTCGGATGAGGAGGATGAGCGTCGAGCATTCCTCACGGATATGAGTATTAAGGCTTTCAGGTGATTCTTTCATCCCTAAGCAATGGGATATTACTTCCTTCATCAAGTGGCTTGGCAATTAATCATTTACTTTAAGATTACTGGGTTAAGCTATTGGTTTAATGGCATTGCAGGCGTTACTTTTTCCTCATAACATACCGTTCATACCTATACTGCAAGTCTCCCACAGAGACAAAATTCACATCTTGGATGGATGCAAGGCCGAACTTGGACATCTCTGTATAATCTTAGAATAGATAAATAATTGGGCATAATTATAGTTATCGGGTTAAGCTATTGGTTTAATGGCATTGCAGGCGTTACTTTTTCCTCATAACATACCGTTCATACCTATACTGCAAGTCTCCCACAGAGACAAAATTCACATCTTGGATGGATGCAAGGCCCGAACTTGGACATCTCTGTAATAATCTTAGAATAGATAAATAATTGGGCATAATTATAGTTATCTTCAAAATATCAAATGTATGTACGTATATGCATGTATGTAGGTATATTATATAGGTCTCAAATGCCTATCAAGTATTGCCCCCATCCAGTTTTTCTCCCCCCACCAGTGTATGATTGAATTTTATATGAAAAGGGGTTGGTAATATGATGAGAAACGTGATCTCTGCGGGATTAGTGTTTAGAATAATTTACTTTTTACTTTTTTTTTTTGTGGTTGCAAAAGAAAAGAACCGAGAACTCAGTGATTATGCCTTCTTCTCACATCTGCTTGGTCAGAGGTAAGGATGCGTTGAACCTCCGAAGGTGGCTGTTGAATAGTCGTGAGCCCTAAGCTAACTCTTCGCCCCATGTTGGCAAGACTATCAGCGAGTTTATTGGCATTCCTAGAAGTATGACTTATCTTGATGCTCCACTGCCGAGAAAGGAGTGAACGGATTCTCCTGATCATGGCTGACACAGAATACGGTTGGGTAGAATTGAGAATCCGAACAGCTTCTATATTATCCAACTCCACCCCCAGCCGTTTAAAACCATTATTCCAAGCTATGTGGAGGCCATCAAGAACCGCCCTCAGCTCGGCCTGAAGGACGGAACAGCGGCCAATATTTCTGATGTAACCAACGACCCAGTCTCCATTCCTGTTTCGAATAGCGCCTCCACAGGACGTCGCCGTCGTCGAAGGGTTGACAGCACTGTCCGTATTGATTTTTAGGGTCGCTTCCTCTGATAGTTTCCATTGGGTTACACTGTGGCTACCATTGCGTCCGGTTGGGTTGTGTTGGTTGTTTTTGATGATGCCCGCCCATGCCATAGCTGAATGGATAGTTTTCATCGCTGCCTAGATTCTTCTATTAAAAACAAGGCTGTTTAATTTTGTGTCGGGGGTTTTGGGATAAAAAATGATCATTAAAGTTATTAAAATTGACTTCTTAGCCCGTACGTTGTTACCTGCTTTTAGGGGATAATGTGACGCATCAACTCTATCTTATGTGGTCTCTCATTTATAATTAAATTTCTATTTTAATATTTTTAATATTTTCACACAATAATTTTAAAAAATAAAATAAAAATATTAAAATCTATTTTTTAAAAAATATATGAAAATTTAGATTTAATTGCATCATATGTCCCTAAACTATAACCCTCATTTTAAATTGGTCATTAAACTTTTGAATGTTCTAATTTCATCCCTAAACTATGACTCTCATTCTAAATTAGTATTTAAACTTTTTAAAATTTTAATTTCATCCCTAAAATATTACACTCTTTCCAAATTAGTACTCAAACTTTTTAATATTCCAATTTTATACCCAAATTAGTCCCAATATGTAATTAGTTTCAATCATAATTTAACCTAAAATTTTGTTTTTTCAAACATATAATAATATAACTTGGCTTGACTATTTTATTAACAAGGGATGTGATTGGTTTATACATATAGTTTGGGATAAAATTGGATTGCTGAAAAAGTTTGGGGACCCATTTAGAATGGTCATAGTTTAGGGATGAAATTGAAATCTTAAAAAGTTTGAGGACTAATCTAGAATGTTAGTCATAATTTTGGGATGAAATTGAAACATTTAAAAGTTTAAGGACCTATTTAAACTTAGGATCATACGTTGAGGACATGTGATACAATTATCTCAAAATTTATAATTTTTTTTAAAAATTGTAATTATGTGAGTTTTTTTTTTAAAAAAAAATCCATAAAACTCTTTAAAATGTTAAAATGTTTGAAGTTCTAAAGAAAATTTAAACGGTAATATCATCAATTATAAAAAATACAAACAAAATTATACAAACTGTAAACCCAATGATATTTACAGTCTAATAATATTTCAAAAAAGATTCATTTGGGGCTCATTATATTATAATTAAAATAAAAAAATATTTAATATAAATTCATATAAAAAATTGAAGTAAAATTATCTTAATTTTTTCATCAAACAGATGAAATTGAAACCCCAAAATCACCCTGTTGCATTTTCTTCTTATTGATGCAAAGTATTTTATATTTAAATACATGGATAAATTTCAATAATTTTTTTTAGATGAATGTATCATTATATTCCAAAAGCAGTCAAACTGCAACACAGTAACTACATCAGCAAGCAGAACACAGAAAAAAAAAATTGTACAAGCTGCCAAGCTATACATATATCTCTATTTACAAGATTCTCCCTATCAACTTGCTTACCCCACAGATTCAACTTTACTATTTCCTTTGCACGATCTACTATCTCTGAAACAGTAACCATTCTCCCAGTAAATAACCTCTGTTTCCTTGCTTTCCAAATCACAACAATATAACCATTCCAAGCCAATTTTAGTATCCAAGAGCTTAAAGGCTTACCCTTCAATCTCTGACACGCCCAATCAAGCTCATTGTCCCAGTCCATTACCGGCCTATTCATTTGTCTAAAAAACAAGTGACTCCTGGTCTCACTATCCCTCGAGCACAAACCACACTCACCCTCAATGGCAACACCAAAAGAATTAAGTCTGCTCCTGGTGGGCAACCTGTCCAAAACAGCCATCCAAGAAATAAGAGAGTTTTTGGGAACGTGCCCCGAGTGCCAACAAGTCTCTCCCAGGGAACCTTCTCCTTTTTATTCCCAATTTCCTTCCAAATCATAGAAACAATAGACAAAGCCAATAACCCTTGAACAGAAGCTGCAGCAAGCCCTCCAAGTCCAACTGACAAATAATACCTCAAAAAGAGTTATCCTTAATTATATAAGAATGCACCAACGCCACCCAAATTGAACCATCTTAAAGAATTAATATAAATTAATATATTAATAAATTGATACATCTTTTTCTACTGATAATTTTTTTTTCAATTTTAACATTTTTAATCTTAGCGATTAATTTACTTTGATCCTAAATTAATGTAAAACTAAAACATTTTATACAATAATTAGATAACATTAATAGTAACATCGTATAAATAAATAACATTCTACATTGTTTTGAATGATTCCTATTACTTGCCAAAGAAGGTGAAGAACCAAACCACAAGAAAAGATTATGTTTAGACAAAACGTAAACTTCTTATTATAGGGGAAGAAAGACTATTTGATTGGTTAAATAAACACTCTTTTTCCTTTTAAAGCCATAGGTTAAATAATAATTTCTTTTGTTATATATAACAAATAAACAACACAATATTCTAAAATCCTAACCGATTGAATTCATGAACGTGAAAGATTAAAACTATGTACATGCCAATTGGTCGGTTAGATGAAAATGAAATGAAAGTTAAATTTAAAATGATTGGTTAAATACACTCTCTTCTTCTCCCCTTTAAAGCCATGAGTTAAATTATATCTTTTTAATATATATGGCAAATAAACAACACAATTTTCCAAAATCTTAACCGATTGAATTCATGTGAAATTTGAAACTATGTGCAGGCCAACACAATTTTACAAACTTCCTTCGGACATGCCATGATGTATACTTCTGCTTATTATCAATCAAACAATTCTTCTTCTTCTTCTACAAGTAAGACGACAACGTTTGCAAATTCATGGCGGTTGCATGTAATGTAAATGCTACCTTCTATTTGAACATGAAATAAATAAAGTTTGGCTTTTTCCCCCGGGGAGTTATTATGTTTTTCCTATTATAATTGCATAATATCTCATCTATTTATATGGATGAACTGAGAGGGAATTGAGATATGGACATACCTCCTGAAAATTTTAATTACTAATATAATTTATATAATTTTTTTATTATCTACTGATGATTTAATTTCACATCCTTAAAATTTTATGGTTTCATATTTCTAAATTTCTAATATAAACATCCCTTGATATAATATATCATGTCCGTTCATATTTATTTATGGTTTAAAATTGTGGTTTTCTTTTGTGATGGTGTATATGATAATGATCATTTTTGAATTTAGTAAATAACTTCGTTTTGGAAAAAGAAAAGAAACTTAATTAATGGTATATTTAGCTTGCGACGGTTATAATATTGGAGTTCACAATGACAGCCACATGGGGTTTTGAACATAAAATGATCTATGAGATCATGAATTACGGTTCTTTCTATCATTCAAGGATTGTGGAATGTCTTCACTTAGTCAACAAACTTGCAATGATAAATTAATCTTTAAAAATTCCATCAATAATTGTTTCATCAGCTAAGGCAGGAGTGTAGCAGTGATTATAAATATGTAGGATTTTACCATCAAACTCATTCTTACCTCAGCATTCTTCATCATTGCTAAAAGAATTGGTTTTAGATGGAGAGTGTCAATCTATTCATCACAGCCCTACTCCTTGTGGGGTTATTTTCCTCTAAGTTCCACGTAACAGATGCAGCTGCAATTTGGTTACCAGCCACTGCAACATTCTATGGTGGCAGTAATGGTTCCGGTACAATGGGTAAGTTTTAGCCCTTTTTTTTCTCTTCAATTTTCATTATGTTGTTCTTGAACTGATGATAATTACAAATACCATGTTGGTTTTGTAGGTGGAGCTTGCGGCTATGGTGATCTTTATATAGATGGTTATGGATTAAAAACGGCTGCACTCAGCACAGTTTTGTTTAACAACGGCGCGGCATGTGGAGGCTGCTATCAGATAGTTTGTGATGCTCAAAAAGCTCCTCAGTGGTGTCTGGAGGGCAATTACATTACCATTGTTGGTCAAAATGCAAAGCAGCCGGCGGCTTAATTAAACAAGTGGGGGGCTGCTAAATTGTTTAATTAAAATGTAATAGGATTAATTACATTTTTTAGTCATTGAACTTTAGGGTATTTACAAAGATTAGTCCCTAAGTTTCAACTATAAATACCCTGGCTCATTTAGCTTCAAAATCATCCCAAAATCTTCTAGTTCTCTCTCAAGTGTGTTGTGTAAACACCTGTAAATTTTCTCTTAGTAAAAGATCTGCAGCAGTCCGGAGACGTAAGCATAAATTGGCTGAACTCCGTTATCAAATTTCGGGTATTATTTTTCCGCTTTTATTTCGCATTCTCACTAATCTGGTTATAGGGAAATTACTTGTACTTGGTTTATTTCCTAACAACTGGTAATCAGAGCTTTTGGTTGTGAATTTTGTCAATTTTCTGCGAGATTACTATTCATTACTATTCACGTGAATAGTGAATTTCGTGAATAGTGAAATTCGGTCGGCGATACGAGTTTGTCGACGGAGGTGTTCTAATACACGGCGGTTCGCAGAAATTGTCAGAAACGATCCAAACGAAGCCAGATGCGGACTTGGCTTTTGGAAAAAATGCAGATCGAAGATTTTCTGTACCAGAAAAATCTATATCAACCCCTCTCAGGAAAGCAACCAGAGGGCATGAAGGATGAAGATTGGGCTCTTCTCGACAGACAAGCCTCGAGTTATCCGACTGACGTTGTCCCGAAATGTTGCTTTCAACATAGCAAAGGAAAAGACCACGGCAGGTCTTATGGCAGCTCTCTCCAGTATGTATGAGAAGCCATCGCCTCAAACAAAGTTCACTTGATGAGGCGATTATTCAATTTGCGGAGACGGAAGGGGCATCAGTGGCTCAACACCTGAACTCAACACAATCACAACCCAGTTGAGTTCTGTAAATTGAATTCGATGATAAGTTCGAGCTTTAATTCTCTTATCATCTCTACCAGACAGTTGGAATGCTACTGTTACCAGCAGTTAGCAGCTCGTCGGGAAATAGTAAATTGAAATTCGACGATGTTCGGGATCTGGTACTGAGCGAAGAAATTCGACGGAGAGAATCGGTGAAGCATCAACCTCCTCAGCCTTGCACACGGGAGTCCAGAGGGAGAACTTCAGAAAGAAATTCAAATCGTGGCAGATCCAAATCCAGCGGGAAAAATCCAGAACGGAAGAAAGATTTTACCTGTTATAATTGTGGCAAGAAAGGTCACTTTAAAAGAGATTGCCGAGCACTGAAGAAAGATACCGGTGCACAGGAATCTGCCAACGTGACAGAGAGACAGGTGATGCCATGATTCTAAGCGTCAACAGTCCGATTTGAATCATGGATCTTGGATTCAGGGGCATCTTTCCACTCCACCCCATGCCAAGAAATCATGGAGAACTATATCAGTGGTGATTTTGGGAAGGTTCATCTTGCTGATGATGAAACCTTGAAGATCGTCGGAAAAGGAGATATCCGACTAAAGCTGCCAAACCAGACCACCTGGAAGCTGACAGGAGTGAGACATATTCCTGGCCTCAAAAGAAATCTGATTTCTGTTGGACAGCTTGATGGAGAAGGATATAGTACAACCTTTTCAGGTTGTGAATGGAAGATTACCAAAGGAGCACTCGTCATTGCTCGTGGTAAGAAGACTGGTACTCTCTATGTACCTCAATTTAGAGAATATCATTGCAGTAGCAGATGCTGATGGAAAATCAAACCTATGGCACCAAAGGCTTGGCCATATGAGCGAGAAAGGAATGAAGATACTTCTGTCAAAGGGAAGCTGCCGATCTAAAAATGTGATGTCGGACTATGCGAGGACTGCATCTTTGGAAAACAAAAGAAAGTCAGTTTGCAAAGATTGGCAAGGCACCAAGGCAGAAAGGTTAGAATTGATTCATATGATGTATGGGACCATCCCAGTTCCATCTCTTGCAGGCTCACTATATTATGTCACCTTCATCGATGATTCAACAAGGAAGGTGTGGGTTTATTTTCTGAAGAAGAAATCAGAAGTCTTTGATACCTTCAGAAAATGGAAGGCCATGGTGGAAAATGAGACTGGTTTGAAAGTCAAGAGGTTGAGGTCTGACAATGGAGGAGAGTACAGAGAGTAGATTCAGAGATTTCTGCGCAAACAATGGGATTAAGATGGAGAAAACAGTTCCCATAACACCGCAGCAGAATGGCGTAGCAGAGCGCATGAACAGAACTCTGAATGAACGTGCTAGAAGCATGAGGATACATGCCGGATTGCCCAAATTTCTATGGGCTGAAGCTATCAACACTGCAGCTTACCTGATCAACCGTGGGCCCTCTGTTCCTTTGGATGGCGGAATACCAGAGGAAGCTTGGAGCAAGAAAGAAATAAACCTTTCATACTTAAGAGTGTTTGGTTGTATTTCTTATGTACACATAGACTCTGCTGAAAGAAGTAAACTTGATGCTAAGTCCAACAAATGTGTCTTTGTTGGTTATGGCGGTGATGAGTTCGGTTACCGGTTTTGGGACTACGAAAATCGAAAGATCATCAGAAGCAGAGACGTCATTTTCAATGAAAATGTGATGTACAAAGACAGGTCAACCGCAGAATCAAGTAATACCGAGGCTGAAACAAAGGAATTTGCTGAGTTCGAGGAGATTTCTGAAAATGATGTTCAAATCAGTCCTGAAGCAGTTCAAGAGGAAGAACCAGGCACACCAGAACTGAGACGCTCCTCCAGAATTCCTAAACAACCCAACGGTATTCACCTTCTTTGCACTACTTGTTGCTAACTGACAATGGTGAACCAGAGTGCTATGATGAAGCAATGCAAGTGGAGGATTCAGTCAAGTGGGAGTCTTCCATGAAAGATGAGATGGACTCGCTTATGTCAAATCAGACATGGGAATTAGCTGAATTACCACAAGGCAAGAAAGCGCTCCATAACAAGTGGATTTACAGGATCAAAGAAGAGCACGATGGGAGCAAACGTTACAAAGCAAGATTGGTTGTCAAGGCTTTCAGCAAAAGAAGGTATTGATTACAATGAAATTTTCTCTCCAGTCGTGAAACTGTCTTCAATCAGACTGGTGTTGAAAATTGTAGCTGCAGAAAATTTACATCTTGAGCAGTTAGATGTAAAGACAGCTTTCCTTCATGGTGATTTGGAGGAAGAAATCTATATGAGGCAGCCAGAAGGCTTCATAGAGGCAGGCAAGAAAACCTGGTATGCAGGTTGAAGAAGAGCTTGTATGGTTTAAAACAAGCTCCTAGACAGTGGTACAAGAAGTTCGATAGTTTCATGGGTAGCAGTGGTTTTACCAGATGCCAAGCAGATCATTGTTGCTACATCAAGAGGTTCGACAACAGCTTCATTATTTTATTATTGTACGTTGATGACATGCTCGTTGCAGGCTCAGACATGCAAGAGATTTTACACTTGAAGCAAAAATTGTCGAAGCAGTTTGCTATGAAGGATCTGGGCGCTGCAAAGCAGATTCTTGGGATGAGGATCAAGAGAGACACAAAGTCGGAGACTTTGATGTTATCACAGGCTGAGTACATCAACAAAGTACTCTCCAGGTTCAACATGCAAGATGCTAAACCAGTAAGTACACCTTTAGGTGTTCATTTCAGACTCTCCAAAGAACAGTCACCAAAGACGGAGGAAGAACGTGCACACATGGTGAAGGTGCCGTATGCCTCAGCAATTGGAAGTCTGATGTATGCCATGGTTTGTACCAGACCAGATATTGCTCAAGCAGTGGGAGCTGTTAGCAGGTACATGAATAATCCAGGCAAAATACACTGGGAAGCAGTCAAATGGATCCTCAGATATCTGCGAGGTACCACAAACAAAGCACTTTGTTTCAAAGGTGGAGAACGATACTGACAGGCTATGTAGATGCTGACTTAGCCGGAAATGTTGACATCAGAAGAAGCACTACAGGGTATGTCTATACTCTAGGAGGAACCGCAGTGAGTTGGGTTTCTCAACTACAGAAGATAGTTGCTCTCTCCACAACCGAAGCAGAATATGTCGCTGTTACGGAAGCCAGCAAAGAGATGGTCTGGCTCCAAAGTTTCTTGAATGAGTTAGGCAGAAACAAGAAAACAATGTCTTGTATTGCGACAGTCAAAGTGCTATCCATCTAGCGAAGAATCCGTCTTTTCATTCCAGGACGAAGCACATACAATTGCGATATCATTTTATCCGGTCTCTTCTGGAAGATGGGATTTTGAAACTTGAAAGATCAGTGGAGCTCAAAATCCAGCAGACATGTTGACAAAGACGGTGACAACGGACAAACTGAAGTTGTGTTCAGCTTCAGTTGGCATGCTAGAATAAAAGACCAGAAATACTGCTGCATCGATCGAGGTGTGAAGACAAATTAAAATCCGTCTTCAAGTGGGAGATTGTTGGTCAAAATGCAAAGCAGCCGGCGGCTTAATTAAACAAAGTGGGGGGCTGCTAAATTGTTTAATTAAAATGTAATAGGATTAATTACATTTTTTAGTCATTGAACTTTAGGGTATTTACAAAGATTAGTCCCTAAGTTTCAACTATAAATACCCTGGCTCATTTAGCTTCAAAATCATCCCAAAATCTTCTAGTTCTCTCTCAAGTGTGTTGTGTAAACACCTGTAAATTTTCTCTTAGTAAAAGATCTGCAGCAGTCCGGAGACGTAAGCATAAATTGGCTGAACTCCGTTATCAAATTTCGGGTATTATTTTTCCGCTTTTATTTCGCATTCTCACTAATCTGGTTATAGGGAAATTACTTGTACTTGGGTTTATTTCCTAACAACCATCACCGCCACCAACTTCTGTCCTCCTAACTACGCACTTCCAAGTGACGACGGCGGTTGGTGTAATCCTCCTCGTCAACACTTCGATATGTCTCAACCCGCATTCGAGACCATCGCCATATATAGAGCTGGAATTGTTCCGATCCTATACAGGAAGTATGTACATTCTGCCATCAGAAAACTTGAATTTTGAGCATTGAACTGGTGGACAATACTAAGACTATTTTCTTTTGTGGTTGGCAGGGTTAGATGCAGAAGAAGTGGTGGCATTAGATTCACCGTGAACGGGAGGGATTATTTTGAGCTGGTGCTTGTATCGAATGTAGGTGGTGCTGGAGACATTTCCATGGTTTGGATAAAGGGTTCTAAAACAAATAAATGGGAAACCATGTCCAGGAACTGGGGAGCCAATTGGCAGAGCTTTAGCTATCTGAATGATCAGAGCTTATCATTTAGAGTCCAAGTCAGCAATGGAAGGATTCGAACAGCTTTCAATGTGATGCCTTCTAATTGGCAATTTGGCCAGTCCTTCAGAAGCAAAGTTCAGTTTTAGATAAGAAGCTGTATGTATTACAGATAAAGAACAGCAACTAAGTTTTCTTATATTATTTAATCTAAATAAATCAGCTTTGATACATAATTAAAAAAAGCTCTGAGTCAATCAAATTCGGATTAAACTTTAACGTTCGAATATGAACAACTTCAGTGTTTGTTCTCCGAGTCCAAACCAATCTGATCATTATGCCATTGGCTCTATTTGGTGTTCGCTGATGCAAATGATAATATGCGCACTCTCACTTTGCTACTAACAACCTTTTGTTCTTGAATTTCTTTATTCAATTCCAAAGAAACAGAGAATTTATAATTACAAAGATCTACACTCATCACCAATTACTATTACTTATAAAACGTTGGGTTTGATCATTTTTTACTTAAAAGTTGGAAAATTGAAAACTGAATATTATTCATAGAAAGTTATGCATGTAGAAGCGGGATTTAATGATTTTGCCGTGGCTAGCCTCCTCGATCTCAAAGCCATGGGCCTCATTTAGCTTAGCTTTTCTTTGGGGCAAGCTTATTCTTTATTTTGTCAACTTCCTTGGTGCCGATTTGGAAGGCCTTGGTCAAGACATTGTCCGGCACCGGGGGTGTTGAAGTAAACAATGTAGCGGCAATCGATTGAGTTCCTGGCAGCTGGCTGTTGAACCCTGCAAGCACAGAAGCTGGCTTCTCACCATTGTTCTTCTGGAAATGTACCAGTCCCTTAGGGAAGACGAAAATGTCGCCTTTCTTGATGGATTTGGAGATCAACTTGTTTGATGTAGTTATGAACCCAACATCCAATTCACCATCAAGAGCAAAGATGATCTCTGTGGCACGTGGGTGAGTGTGGGGTGGGTTAAGTCCACCGGGTTGATAGTCGATGCGGGCAAGTGACACTCCAAGGGTGTTAAGCCCGGGAATTTTCTCAACATTGGCTCCTGTCACCACTGATCCTACTGAATTGTTGATAACTCCAGGATTGGCTAAACCGCTAAAGAAGAAATCAGCTTCCGTAACATTTGCCTCATCTTTGCATGGAAATCCATTCACCTTTATTCCTACAAGAGTGTATATAATCCAGTAGTATCATAAGATATATATGATTCAGAAAGGAAATGAAAAGAAAACAACATATATAGTTGTTGTAACGATCATTAACGTACCTGCAGCTTTGTTGGCTACACAGAGATCCTGAAGAAGATCGGGATCAGATGCGACCATACCGAAGAGCGCGAGAAAGACGAAGAGATATGCAGAAACCGTGGCAGCCATGAAGATGATTACAAGCTAAAAAGGGACAATTGATAAATAAAAGGAAGAAGTAGAGAAACTTTTTGCTTCGATTGCATGAAGAGAAAAGGGATATCTACTTTATATATGGAAAACAAAATGGGTAGAGATGGTAGATGTGAGGGTAAAGTTTGGAAAACAGGGTACTTCAACTTGAAAGCAAAGCAATTGGTAAATGCAGACAAAACTTCACCATCTTTGACCCCAGATTTTAACCATTCAAGACTTTTTCAAGGGGACAATATGCAACCGAGAAGGAACTCAAAATGCATTACAGTGCACTGGGCGAGAAGCCGAAGCGGAGAAAACAGCTTTCAAAGTTTGGTGGGGTCTAGAAGTTTTAGAATTAGAATTCAAATTATAACATTTATGATTTTTAATAATTATTTCAGATTGAAATCTCTTTATGAAAATGATAAACAAGGCATATATTATACTGTTAATAAAACGGATAAGTGACCATCACGCCGGTACCTACTACAAAGAAAGCGATTCCCTTTAGGAAAATGGCCCCATAAGACGTTCATGGAACCGCGCTTGTAAGACTTAACGATATGAAAACATAAACCCTAGATTCTTAGAAGAGAAAAAAGAAGTTGAAATGGGTTGGTTTAGCAGCTGTTGTTGCGGTGGTTGAATTGTCCTATCGGCCTTAGCTTACCCTATAGCCTTCACAAGATCATTAACAGTTAGCTCTTGCATGCTTCATTCTAGTTCTAGCAACTGAAAGCTTTAGATAATGCAATTAGTTGCATCTTGACTTTAATGAAGAGCGAAGGATACTAAAAGTTCATCTTTGAAAAGCTTCTGGCACCTCAATTAATGGTAGAAGCTGATGTTGATGTGCAACAGTTAATTTTTCACATATTCGGCTGAACATTGTTCATTCTTCACGTATGCGGTTTTACTTGATAATTACCAGAGTAAAGTGGCTTATAAGGTAAAATCTGCAGTTCCCATGTGTCTTTCCTGCAACTACTGTGCATAAAATGCTAAGCATGACGACCAGAAAAAGCTTCAAAAAAGTTGAAGCATACATTTTTCTTTAGTCTTGGAATGAAGCCGAGTAAGATATGAAGAAACTATTATCTCGTCAGCTGGAAGAAACGAAGGGAATTTTCATTTAATCAAATAACTATCCCTATAAATAGGTATTATGAAAATTGATTTTAGAGATGTTCTACACAGAGGTAAAAAAAGACAAATAACTTCAAGGAGTTAAAACTTTCTTGGCTTCTTCACGTATACACGAAAGGTTGGTCTTTATCTCTTTAGAAAGCCTGCCTTCAACTAGACGAACCGGCAACCACATCTTGGGCTTTACATCTACTAAATACGAAAGCGTTGTCTGCCATTCTTCATCGTCTTCACTCTTTCTTTTATTGAACTGCACAACCCATGATCAACAAAGTTATTAGATTCCTCTTCAACTGCAATTAATTCAATTTCATTAACTAATACCTACCTCTTCAATCAACCATGTTCCTTCAAAGTTGGTGAAGTCACCTTCAATCATCTTGAATTTGATTTCACGCTTTTTCCCATTTGGTATCATCTCAACATCTTTCTCGTAACAATCTATAACTCCTTTTGCATTGAATTTCAAACCCAATGGCAAGTTCTGCTGTCCAATCTGTTTAATGCATAAGCATTAGCAACTCAAAATGAAAGTAAAATTTAATAAATGGATCATCAAACACACCAACCTGGAAAAGTCGGGCAAATTTATCATTCTTTTCAACAACTTTGCTGACAGCAAGTCCTGGAATAACATCAGCCAGCTTCTCATAGTCAGTCAAGATGTTCCAAACGGTATCCAGGCTGGCTTCTATTCCGATTTTGGACCGAATCCTGCGAGAGTTCCCTCCAAGCTTTTTTATTTCAATAAACACACCGTCTTCTTCGCATATCGAATCCTTCTTCTCATCTAACAAAACAAAATCATCGTCATCGTCGTTGTTATTCAATAATTTCATGTCCGATACATATTAAGATAAGAGTTTCAGATCTCTATTAAAACCAACAATATTACCAGTTGCAACTTCACCTTGGGAGATGGTAGCTCCTACGTCGTACTGGAGAGACATTGCCGGTTTCTGTGGATCTATCAATCTTCAACTGTGCATCAGTATTGAATATAGACTCAAGCTTCCTTGATGAAGTCCGATATTTGAAGTAATTCAAAGGATGGATGATGGATCTTCTCACTGCAACAGTATTGAATATAGACTCAGCCTTCCTTTTTTTTACCCCATTAATGCTCCATTATGCATCTTTAAAATATGTATCAGGCTTGAATAAAAGTATTGGACTATTAGATTCAATAATTTAATGTTTCTATTTTAATAATTAGTATTTTGAGATCAGTGACCAATGCAATATCATTTTTTTGTTGTTGGATGGAATCAAGCAATATTTTATACATTAAAATAGCTTTGGGAAACATCCTGTACACATGTGCTTCGTCCTTTAAAAAATTGATTACAGATCTACATCAAATATATATATATTGGGAAATGGATTTGAAGACAAAAAAAAAAAAAGTAATTTACTGTAAATAATTTAAAGTTGTTATTAAGCCAATTAAAAATTATTCAGACATAATATCACATTCGATATTTGTACTTTAATAAAAGTTTAATATGGTATCTTTCTTTTCAAAATATTCAGTGTGATGTATGCCACTAATAAATGAATAATATAATACGTTTACTTTGATAAAATGTCCAATAATAATATGACATATTATTATTATTTTTTATGAATGTTTCTCGCAATGGAAAAGTGATTTTTTTCATATTCCATAAGTAATTTGAAACATTTAAAAATGAATTTAAAATCATGATTGGAAAAGTGATTTTCAACCTAATCTCAAAAGCTCAAATTTCTAGTTTACATGAGAAAGTAATGAATAATGGGTTACATGTTAATTATGTTCATATTTACTGTTCCATACATTTTTACTAAATTTTTTCATGATCTTGGGAACAAATTCCAAATTACTAGATTTTACAAGTTTTAAGAAAGAAGATAAGGAGAATGTAAAGATATTATATTAATGTTTTTAACGTTTGTTAGTTAAGTCCAGTCGGCATTAGCAAGCTGGAGTAACCCAGTGTCAATATAATGTGGTATTGGGCCTCTGCCATTGTAGCCAGTTTTGTAATCCTTGTCTAAAGAAATGAAATGAAATCACCCCCTAACATTTGGTAACATTGTTCCATTGTTCTCCTTTCTAATTCAACTTCACGGTTTTGTGTTTATTCTTTAACATACACAAATGTATGATTTATTTTAGGATGTAGAGTTGGCAGCAAACGTGACAACCAAGTGCTTCTTCGATGTTGAAATTTGGGAGAATTGCGATGGGCCTTTTTGGGGATGTTGCTCCTGAGAACTATCCCTAAATATAAATTTGTATTGTGCTTAATTTGCTTATAGCTGAACGGTGACTGGCAGTGTTTTGAAAACCGGACCAGATCGGTAAGTTCAACCGGTTTAAACGATAATCGTTGTCTAGTTCGGTTCAATATACACCGGTTGAACCGCTACTAGTGAACCGGCCGGAACCGCTGAACCGTTCGAACCGGACCGGCTGAAAACCGCCAATTTTGTTTTTTTAAAAAAAAATTAAACCATACAACGTCGTTTGTTAAACGAGCCAAGTCGAACTCGAGTATTGCTGAGCTCGACTCGAACTTGAAAACTTTAAAAGTAAGCTCAACTCGACTCAAACTCACGAGCTAAAAATTATCAAGTTCAACTCGAACTCGAAAAGGCTTGAACTCAAAAAATATTTAGAAGCTCGATTGAAGCCTAAAATTCAAGTTTGATTGAAGTGAAAGAATAGTTCACTAAATGCTCACCAAAAGGCTCCATGATTTTGAATGCCAAATTACCTCTATTATTTATAGAAGTTAGTTGGGATGCTCTTCTATATTTCTTAACCATGTGGGATTGTTTTGTTCTCATATTTTTACTCTTTAGACTTTTGGGATGCTCTTTTATGTTTCTTAGTCATGTGTGATTGTCTTTTTTAAAAAATTAAACCAAACAATATCATTTTGTTATGATTTTTTTAGAACCAAATTTATTTTTTAATTATAGTTATATAATTATATTTATTATTTAATATGTTTTACCTTAAATATTATGTTGTAGTTAATTTGAATCATTTTGTTTCACTTGATTTTATGATTTTTTAACTTATATATGTTATGACTTGCTTTGAATATGACTTGTGATATAAAAAATTATTTTTTATTAAATATTTTGGGTTTTTATTTAATTTTTTAAATAATTATGATGTCGTCCGGTTCTTCCGACCGATTAGACCGATTCGACCGGTTGAACCAATGAACCGATAGTATGACCGGTTCGCTAACCGGTCCAGTTCTGAAAACCATGATGACTGGTGCTGTTAATATTCTTGGCATGATTAATCCCTATTGCTTCTCTGCCGCAAGATGATCCTGAATCTCTCCAAGGGATGATACAAGGCCGAATAAACCTCTTCAAAAACCTCCTTTTTAGGAAGCAAGATGAAGAATAAAAAGTACCAAATCTATCCCACCAAAAGGATGTCGAGGGATGCAAAACTGAAGCAAAAAATACTAGTCGATGAGGATTAGTTGAGAGAAGCTAAGCTGGTCAGGTGCAATGCATAGATGTGGATGCAAGTGCCACTGCTTGTGCCCACACCTTGAGCCGAGCCTTCACATCTCTCGGATCATCACCTAAATCACAAAAAATATCATCAGTTGCACTGAAATTGCTCTATGCTTTTTCTATTAAACAATTATGAATCACCAATAAACAACAATTTTAGAGAGAGAGAGAGAGAGAGAATGGCCGTCGTATTTGGACTCACCAGGACCAGAGAAAAGCCAACTGGCAGTGGGAGAAATGCCATTATCAAGAGAGGAAAAACGACTCGGCGGCATCTCCAACACACGCTCATGTTCCAACTCGAACCCCAGATCCCTACACGCCTTCACTACCTCCATGTCCATACACATGGACCTCCTCCCTCCTTTTGGCCTGGTGATCACCACCACACCTTCACTCTCCCCGCTAAAGCTACTTCCATTATAACCCACATCTTTCGTTTTCCTGTTGCTTTTAATCTCCTTCAATTGACAATCTCGACATGTACAACCCCATATCATCATCTTCTTGTGTTGAAGAAATAGCCATCGTACTGTTATCGGACATCATTTTCTTCTTCTTCTTCCTGTGTTTTTGCACCCCAAAAAATAATGAAAAATAAAGAAAGGAAGATGCAGTACTTTTGTCAACCAAAGTGAGTTAATGAGAGAGAAGACATAAAGAGCTTCTGCACTTATTTATATTATGCGAGGTTTGAAGTCTTTATTTTAAATAATTTATCGTTTACCGCTGTAGTAAATATTTATATAATCGTGAAATAATAAACGAGTCAAAATTCTTGTTTCCAAAAAATAAAAGTGTTTCATTTGAACGCCGTTCAACGAACAGTTGGTTTTGGTTGTCAACTCAATAATTATTTAATCTCTTCAGTCATAGTTGTTCAAAGTACATCAATGGACATTCAGATTTCAGACCGTGTGTTCCTCGCGTATGTTGTCAGAGTGTACTTAAACAATAACAAGCTTTACATTAAGTGTGAAATAGTTTGGTGGTAACTTGACGCATACATTTTAATTTGAAAATAATCAGGTTTTTTTACTATAATTTATTGTCTTAATTTCTTTCTTGTTACGTATAATATTAGAAACGCTATTTCAGCTGTCCGCGTTTTCCATCCAAAACGACGAAGTATAATGGCGGATTTCCCAAACAAAAGTTCCAATCATGCAACAACACATCACTTCTGATATGCTCCTTTATCTTTCTTTCTTTTTTCTTTTTTCATTCTTTATTATTTCTTTTGACCACATTTTTATCTTCCAAAACGTTTTTATAATAATAGTTTTTGCTTAATGCCTTTGAACGAGATTATTAAAGAATTTAAAAATTCTAACGAATCAAATTGAATATATTTTTATATTTTTAATTTAATTTTTAAATATATTTGATATTATTATATTGATAATATAAAATAATAATTCATTTAAATATTTATTGCAAATTTTGAAGCTAGCGTTTCGAATGTATCGTGGATTGTCAACTTGAAGTTGTGGGAGGTAAAACGACAGCTGACGTGGTAGTGATAGAAATAGTTATTCTTACACGTGTTAGAAAATGGTATTTTTTAATTTCAGCCATAAATTTAGAATCGAGGGGGAGCTGACTTGGATGGTCAGATTATTGAGAGACATGAGGTCATGAGCATTTTCATTAGATTATTGTGGATAGGATCAACTATGAGGAGTGTGTAAGATATTTTGTTGTATTTGACGCGTCTTATGCTCCATGAATTTGGTGGCCCTATTGTGTACCCTACTTTAAGTTCCGGAACGATTCTCGAGATTTTAAAGAAAAATTAGTTTGTAAAATAAATAATATGAAATGGTTATCGATTTTTTAATTGAATAAGATCAAACATTTATAAATTATATTTTTTTAAATTATATTTTTTTAAAGATAGTTTTACGATCGACGTTTAACTTTAATGAAAGTAATTGATTTGTGTGATTTGGCGAGAAACAATGACGACAAACAGGGATTAAAGAAAGAGAGGATGAGGGAGAGGATGAAGAAAGAGGGAAGATGTCAAGGTTCATATCACGTTGTAAATTATACATATATAAATGGATGTACTTAGAGGAGGTTGGATGAGATGACTATCAGCTTAGTTGGTAGAGTACAATGTTATTAATTTTGAGGTCGTGGGATCGAATCTTATGGAGGGTATTTCATAATTTGGAGGTCTTCTACGGAAGTTGTTTTCAACCTGGTGTTGGGGACAACCTACTATCTTACCTCCCCCTTACCACATTACATATGAGAACAAGGGACAACTATTTTTTTTACTTAGAAGATGTTGGGTTAGTATAGTCGTCCCTATTAGAAAATTTAAATTCTTATATATTTTAGGTATTTTTTTTTATGTTTTCTATTAAAAACATATTTTCACACTTCCTAAAATTTTATAAATTCTGCTCTACTTAAAATTTTATAAATCCGTCTCTCTTAACATAAAATCATGCGTCCATGTTATATATGTGTTATAACAGTTTTATCTTTGAAATGGTACTAATAATTGGTACAGCGGTGTCATGTGTTCAGTATGCTTACAAAACAAAGTATTTTCTTCAACAGATTTAGGAGGATTAAACTTGCAAAGGAAAAGATAAAAGGGGCGTTTGATAAACAATTTTTTTGAAGAGTTTTTAGTTTATTTGCACATAAATAGTTAATGGGTAGTTAAATCTTTCATTTTTAGTGTTTGATAAACATATTTTTGAAAGAGTTGATTGTACAAAATAAATTGAAAATGAAAATGTTGGAAATCTAACGGTTTGTGAGAGCTGGTTGCAAAATAAGATGTTAAATGATATATTTGACCTTATTATTTCTATAATTACATCTTTACCATAAAATCTCATTATTTTCATCCTAATCCACTTGATGTTAATGGCAACTAGATGATCCCACCATTTTTCTTAAATATTCTTTATTTGTTTGTACTTGTTTGGATATGTATATATTTCTTAAATATTTATGTAATCTAAATTTATTTTTAATAAATTTGTGTGAAATGAATTTTATGCAACGTCTAAGGACGTAATAGTGAAATTTTATTTTATTATTATATTTTTAATTGTAGATTCTTAAATATAATCTAGTTAAGAAAATATAGCAAAATATGAAAGTAAAAAATGAATTTTTTATACAAGTTTAATATCATGTATCAATCTCACAAGGTTAATATTTATAAATATTAAATTTAAAAAATACATTCAAAATTTTCAAAAATATTCACTAATTTTCTTAAGGAATTTTTGTTGAATCATGTTTTATAATATTCTGATATAACAAATTAAGGCAAAATATTTTTGGACTTAATTGAATTTGTTCAAAGTTTTTAAAAATAATTTAAAGTTCATTAAAACTAGAATTTGAACACAAAGCAATTTTTTGGGTAAGTAGTACTGACATTGTTCTTACATCATCAATATTGTTCATGTGGTACCGATACCAAAGGCAAGAGAAGTATCGATACTCTTTTGGTAGTATTGATACTACTAATTGTTTTCCAAATTGTTCAAATTCCGAAATGCAAAATTAGTACTGATACTCAAGGAGTACCGATACTGCTTTACACGATAATATTGATACCATGAACTCTAGTATCGATACTGGTCGAGCCCAACGGTCTTTAACGGTTAGTTTATTTAAATATTACAAATGTAGTACCGGTACTCATTAAAGGAGTACCAATACTCCCTGTTCTGGGCATTTTTATTTTTGTAGAAAATTCATCCCCAACGGTTAGAAACGGCCACAAACTCATTTCAACATGTAAAAATAAGTTAAAGACACTTGAAGAAGGTTGCAACACTTGAAGAAGGTTGCAACACCTATCCAAGTAATAGAGATTAAGAGAAAAGTTGTTTCACTCTTTCTTTTTCCTTTTCTCTTGTATATAAGTATTTGAGCTCATTGCAAATCTTTTATTTATTTTCTTGTGAGCTTAATTCTTGTAAACACCTACCTTTGTGAGATTTTTTTTGTTTATATCTTTCAACCTTTGTAAAAGTGGAGTGGTTCAAGTTTAGCTATTGAAAAACTAAGGGTTTTATAAAGGTTACTCTTGAGTCTAGAAAAAGAAAGAACAAATTAGTGAATTTGTTAGAAAATCCTTAGTGTGGAGCTAAAGTAGTAGATGTAGAATTGGTTTATAAGTCGAACTACTATAAATTCTTGTGCAAAATTTCTATATATTTTTACTCTACACCCAAAATTTTCTAAAGGCTAATTCACCACTTCTTGGCACTTTTTAGGTTGGTCAATTGAGCTTCATCAATCCTAACAACTTTTAATTCATTGTCAAAAGTATTTTATTCGAATAATTTTGCCCCAATAAAGACTAAAGTATTATAAAACATATATGTACTTAACAACTAAATGTATCATACCCTTATTTGTCATTTTACTCATATCAGCTATCAACTATCAGCTAAATTTTATCAAACACTTCTATATAAACAGCTAATCAAATCAATTTCTCAAATCAGCTAATCAAATCAGTTGATCGAACCAACTACTAGAATCAACTATCAGAGTTGTTTTCCAAACACCCAAAATTTGTTTATATGAAGCTCTTGAATTTTTTTGGACAAGCTGGAGGCATACAATAAGCTTCGTAAGGCCGACTTTAAGGGCTTAGGAGAGGCCCATGACAACCATATTTTGCTGACGAAACACGTATTTTATGTGTTTATTTTTTCAATTCATTAGTCTTATAAAACAAATTAATTAGACAAAACTCAAGTAACTTCTCGAATGAAATAACATCTTTATTAAGTTTCTGTTTAGAAATTTATTATTAAATAAACTCATGAAATTAAAAAAATTTATGATTATACTCTCGAAAATTGTGGCGTTGATATAATAATTTTTTGAATAAATGATTATTATAATTTTGAATATTTTCACCTTTTAATAAACTAACGCTTCAATTAAAAAAAAAAATAATCATATTTTTCTGAGTAAATTACATAAATGATTATTAATGTTTAAATATGTATTTCTTTTTCTTATTGATGTTTTATAACTAACGATTTAATCGCTAACATTATCAATTTATAACAAATCGATCACTTGATGTTAACATCTGTTACTGCGGGTGACAGAATATTGGTCTGTCCAGAGCTTGAAAATGTCATGTGCGGGCTCTGAGTATGCACCTGGATTCATATAAGATGGTTCAGAGGCTGATGTTTGACTTAACATGCCAAAAATAATATTATGACATCCATGATTATAGATGTTAATGTCAAATGGCTGATTTGTTATAAATCGATAACATTAGTGATCAAAATGTTAATTTTGAAATATTAGTGAAAAAAGTTACTGCAACATGGATCACCATCTATGTAGTTTATCCTAACTTCTTATTGATTGTTAACAAATTGACATGATAATACTTATGATAAGTAGAATTGAAATAAAATATACATCGATGATAATACAGCATAACATTGGAGATTGGACGACAATTTGGATCAAGAGCCAACATCTACTAAACAATGTCAAAGAAAAGA